GTCAAAGTGGGCGTCTGTGACAAGCGGGGTTCCACAGGGGTCAGTCCTTGGACCTGTGCTGTTCTTGGTATATGTGAATGACATAACGGAAGGGATAGACTCAGAAGTGTCCTTGTTTGCGGACGATGTGAAGTAAATGAGAAGAATCAAATCGGATGAGGATCAGGCAGGACTACAAAGAGACCTGGACAGGCTACAAGCCTGGTCCAGCAACTGGCTCTTGAGTTTAACCCCCCCAAATGCAAAGTCATGAAGATTGGGGAAGGGCAAAGAAGACCGCAGACACAATATAGTTTAGATGGCCAAAGTCTGCAAACCTCACTCAAGGATAAAGATCTGGGGGTGAGTATAACACCGAGCATATCTCCTGAGGCGCACATCAATCAGATAACTGCTGCAGCATAAGGGCGCCTGGCAAAACCTACGGATAGCGTTCCGATACCTCAGTAAGGAGTCGTTCAAGACTCTGTATACCATTTACGTCAGGCCCATATGGAGTATGCAGCACCAGTTTGGAATCCACACCCAGTCAAGCACGTCAAGAAATTAGGAAAAAAGTGCAAAGGTTTGCAACAAGACTAGTCCCAGAGCTACGGGGATTGTCCTACGAAGAAAGGTTGAGGGAAATTGGCACTGACGACACTGGAGGCCAGGAGGGTCAGGGGAGGAGACATGATAACGACATACAAAATACTGCGCGGATAGACAAGGTGGACAAAGACAGGATGTTCCAGAGATGGGACACAGACACAAGAGGTCACAATTGGAAGTTGAAGACTCAGATGAATCAAAGGGATGTTAGGAAGTATTTCTTCAGTCATAGAGTAGTCAGGCCGTGGAATAGCCTAGAAAGTGAAGTAGTGGAGGCGGGAACCATACATAGTTTTAAGGCGAGGTATGATAAAGCTCATGGAGCAGGGAGAGAGAGGACCTAGTAGCAATCAGTGAAGAGGCGGGGCCAGGAGCTATGACTCGACCCCTGCAACCACAAATAGGTGAGTACAAATAGGTGAGTACACACAGTCAAGCACGTAAGGAAACTAGAGAAAGTGCAAAGGTTTGCAACAAGGCTAGTCACGGAGCTAAGGGGTATGTTCTACGAGGAGAGGTTAAGGGAAATCGATGTGACGACACTGCAGGACAGGAGAGATAGGGAGGGACATGATAACGACATATAAAATACTGAAAAGAATCGACAAGGTGGACAGAGACAGAATGTTCCAGAGATGGAACAGAGCAACAAGGGGACACAGTTGGAAGTTGAAGACACAGATGAATCACAGGGATGTTAGGAAGTATTTCTTCAGCCACAGAGTAGTCAGGAAGTAGAATAGTTTGGGAAGCGATGTAGTGGAGGCAGTATCCATACACAGCTTGAAGAAGAGGTATGATAAAGCTCATGGAGCAGGAAGAATGACCCAGTAGCGGCCAGTGAAGAGACGGGGCCAAGAGCTGTGAATCGACTCTTGCAACCACAACTAGGTGAGTACACACACGCACACACACACACACACACACACACACACACACACACACACACACACACACACACACACACACACACACACACACACACACACACATATATATATATATATATATATATATATATATATATATATAATATATATATATATATATATATATATATATATATATATATATATATATATATATATATATATATATATATATATATATATAATTATGTAGTAGAGCTGGTAGACAGCAACCACCCAGGGAGGTACTACAGTCCTGCCAAGTGAGTGTGAAAAATCATCCTGTAATTGTTTTGCATAATGGTAGGATTGCTGGTGTCTTTTTCTGTCTCATAAACATGCAAGGTTGCAGGTATCTTTTGCTACTTCTACTTACACTTAGGTCACATTACACATGCATGTACAAGCATATATATACTAGCTCCTCTGGGTTTTCTTCTATTTTCTACCTAGTTCTTGTTTATTTCTGATTATCTCCCTGAGGAAGTGGAACGGAATTCTTCCTACGCAAGCTATGAGTGTGGTAGGAGGCGACTACATGTAGATGTCGGGAGGAATGGGTTAGTAACCCCTTCTCCTGCATAAATTACTAAAGAGAAGAAAAAGAAATACTTTATAAAATTGGGATGTTTGAATGTGCGTGGATGTAGAGCAGATGGTAAGAATGAAGTGATTGCAAAGGTTATGAATGAAAGGAAGTTGGATGTCCTAGCCCAAAGCGAAACAAAGCTGAAAGGGGTAGGGGAGTTTCAGTGGGGAGAAATGAATGGGATTAAGTCAGGAGTGTATGAGAGGGTTAGAGCTAAGGAAGGTTTGAATTTGAAAGGATCAGTTATGGAGAGAGCAGAGGGAATATAAATGTATAAATTCAAGTATTATGTGGATTAAAATGAGGGTCGGATGTGAAAGGTGGGTCATAATAAGTGTATGCACCTGGAGAAGAGAGGAGTGTACAGGTGAGAGAGAGATCTTGGGAGATGTTAAGCGAGTGTGTAGGAACTTTTGAGCCAAGTGGAATAGTAATTGTGGTAAGGTACCTAAATGCTAAAGTAGGAGAAGCATTTAGAGAGGATGTGGTAGGTAAGTTTGGGGTGCCGGGTGTAAATGATAATGGGGAGCATTTGGTTGACTTTGTATAGAAAGGGGTTTGGTTATACGCAACACATATTTTAAGAAAAAGAGAATAAATAAGTATACAAGATAAGATGTTGGGCGAAATTACAGTAGTTACATGGTAGATAAAAGACTGATGAGTAGACTTCAGGATGTACATGTTTATAGAGGTGCCAAAGATATATCAGATCACTTTTTAGTTATAGCTACAGTGAGAGTAAAAGGCAGGTGAGATACAAGGAAAATGGAAGCAGCAAGTAAGGGAGAAGTGAAGGTTTATAAACTAAGGAGGAGTCAGTTAAGGTAAGATATAAACTGTTGGAGGAGAGATGGGCTAGTGAGAATAAAGGCAATGGGGCAGAAGATTTATGGGGTAGGTTTAAGAATATAGTGTTAGAGTGTTCAGCAGAAGTTTGTGGTTACAGGGAAGTGGGTGCGGGAGGGAAGAAGAGTGATTGGTAGTATGAGGATGTAAAGAAAGTAGAAAGAGAGAAAAGGTTAGTATATGAGAGGCTTTTACAAAGCAAAAGTGATGCAAGGAGGGAGGAGTCTATGGAGAGAAAAAGAGAGGTTAAAAGAGTGGTGAAGCAATGTAAAATGAGTCAAAATGAGAGAGGGGGTGAGATGTTATCAACAAATTTTGTTGAAAATGAGTAAAAATTTTGGTGTGAGATTAATAAGCTGAGAAAGCCTAGGGAAAGAATGGATTTGTTAGTTAAAAACAGGAGAGGAGAGTTACTAAATGGAGAGTTAGAGGTATCGCGAAGATGGAGGGAATATTTTGAGGAATTGTTAAATTTTGATGAAGATAGGAAAACTGTGATTTCATGGGGCAAGGAGGAATAACATCTTATTAGAGTTAGGAAGAACTAGTTGTAAGTGTGGGGGAAGTGCATGGCGCAGTAAGTAGAACGAAAGGCGGTAAAGCAGCTGGGATTGATGGGATAAAGATAGAAATGTTAAAGCAGGTGGGGATATAGTGATTAGTGTTTTTATTTAATAAATGTATGGAAGAGAGTAAGGTACCTAGGGATTGGCAGAGAGCATGCATAGTTCCTTTGTATGAAGGCAAAGGGGACAAAAGAGAGTGTAAAAATTATAGGGGAATAAGTCTGTTGAGAATACCTGATAAAGTGTATGGTAGAGGTATTATTGATAGAATTATGAGCAAGACAACAGATGAACAAGGCGATTCAGGGAAGGTAGGGGGGTGTACAGACTAAGTGTTTACAGTGAAACACATAGGTGAACAGTATTTAGATAAGGGTAAAGAGGTTTTTGTGACATTTATGATTTGGAAAAGGCGTATGATAGGGTGGATAGGGGGGCAATGTGGCAGATGTGTGGAATAGGTGGTAGGTTACCGAAAGCGGTGAAAAGTTTTTACGAGGATAGTGAGGCTCAAGTTAGAGTATGTAGGCGAGAGGGGGATTATTTTCCAGTAAAAGTAGGCCTTAGACAGGGTTGTGTGATGTAACCATGGTTGTTCAACATATTTATAGATGGAGTAGTAAGAGAAGTGAGGAAACGTTTCTTCAATAAAGATACCCAAGAGTTGCACATGTGTCTAATTTATCAACGTGTCGGTTCTCTTCTTTTAGTTCAATAAGGGGACACAGTTAATGTGGAGCAGGACTGCCTCACCAAAATTAGTTGCTTTAGGGTGGCGATTGACCCAGGTGTTCATGATTATCTTAAATCTACCTTGGGTGTGAACCGCATTACACAGTGGTGTTGGGGGAAGGGGTGGCCCAGGTGTTTCAGTAAGGATATACTGGTGTTATATTCTATCTTGGGTGTGAACCGCATTACATGCTGTCTGTCTGACCTGTGTTGACCCAGGTGTTTCAGTAAGGATATACTGGTGTTATATTCTACCTTGGGTGTGAACCGCATTTCATGGCGTTTGTCTGTCCTGAGTTGACCCAGGTGTTATGTTCTACCTTTGGTGTGAACCGCATTACACAGTGGTGTCGGGGGGAGGGGTGGCCCAGGTGTTCGGTAAGGAGATGGACGTGTGATTTTCTACCATGGGTGTGAACCGCATTACATGCTGTCTGTCTGACCTGTGTTGACCCAAGTGTGATTTTCTACCTTGGGTGTGAACCGCATTACACAGTGGTGTCGGGGAAAGGGGTGGTCCATATAAGCTCAATGAGACACTCAGAGCGAGGATAGTGCTTCCATCCGTCATCCGTGACTGACCTCATCTTCCCCACAGTATTCCTCTCATTAAGTTAAATGAACTAAAAAGGACCTCATCTTTTCCAACCGCACATCATGGAGAAAGGTAAGTTGTACTTAGAAAATTCTTGTTTTTTTACATGTTTAATTTTTGTTGAAGCATATGAGTGAAATGTTTACTGGGTTAGTGTGTTAAATAAGTGAAATTCTTAACAGGGGATAGCATATATTCGAAATACTTGGAAGCATTGGTGAAGAGAAGATTATCGATTAGAAGGAGGCGTTCGTTGGTAATCGAGAAAGGCGGTGTACAACACAATGAAAGGTTATTGCAATTGGATAATGAGTGGGCACGTGTAGATGCTTTATGGAAGAAGGCTATAGAAACAGGTATGTAACCAATTGTGATCTTTTGTTGTTGTGAAAATGTGCTAGTCACTCGAGAAAAGAATTTTTGTTCTATTCATTGAAATCTTAATATTTTTGGGTTATGAATTGGATATGCTTTTTTTTTCTCTGTTCATTGAAATCTTAAAACGTATTATGTAAAAATTGTGAAGGGTGACCTTCTTACCCCCATTACTGGACGTAATATTACTGTTCATTGAAATCTTAATATTTTTTGGGGTTATGAATTGGATATACTTTTTTTTCCTCTGTTCATTGAAATCTTAATATTTTTTGGGTTATGAATTGGATATACTTTTATATATATATGTAAAAATTGTGAAGGGTGACCTTCTTATCCCCATTACTGAACGTAATATTACTATTCATTGAAATCTTAATATTTTTTGGGTTATGAATTGGATATACTTTTTTCCTCTGCAGGAAATACACCTGGTAGTAATGTCGCACAGCTTGGTGGTGAGAGTGCTAGTGTTGGTACCTCACAATGCGGAGGTGCGGGTACTTCTGTCCCCATTAATGATGATGAGAGAGCAACTACCTCGCATGACGTGTCTGACACGCATAATAGTGAAGATGAGACCCCAGAAGTTATTACATATATCCAGAATTTTAGAGGTAGACATACAGTGAGGAAATATAGTGTTCCTTCAACTTATAACAGAGAGTTAAGAATGTATTTACATGTTTATAGGGAATATTTTATAGAACAGATGCGAGATATGTATGATAGATCGCCTCTAGCAATGTCGCTCAGAATCCACCCAATTATAGTTATAAGGACATTACGTCAAAACATATCGGGTGATGATCAAAATGGACAATTTGTGATAAATTTAGCGTTTGAGTTAGTAAGTGAAGAGGAAATCTCTGAAGTATTTGATCGATGGGTGGGAACAATATTAGAAAGATACGAGTCAGAGTTGCAAGATCAGGAAGGATCTGGCTGGATCATAGATCAAATCGAATCTTTCAGTATCGAATATGTTAAAGTAGAATTCAGAGTGGGAGTGGGATCATATGTGGCATATCCCGAGAAACTGCGAGGGAACCAATATGTATTTAATCCAGAGATTAATGATGGGTTATGTGTACTGCGTGCTTTTGCCGCCTATCAATGTCATAAAAAGAACATGTCATGGGTTCATATTCGCAGAGCAGTTAATACTAAGAATGGATGTCTTAATCATGCAAAAACTTCTATAGATGATTTCCCCATTACGCGTGATAAGTTAGGTATATTAGAGAAGGAAAATAAAGTGTCATTATATGTTTATCAATTAAGAAAGGATCAAGATAGGACATTTATGGCTATGTGTCGTAAGGGGAATAAGAAATATAAGGACATTATGTGCGCGTTATTGTTGAATGAAAGACATTTGGTTTTAATCAAAGATTTTGACGGGTATGTTAGAACGATAATGAAGGATCATGATGTAAAGAAGCACTGTCATAGTTGTTTGATGAAGTTGAATACACAGGAAGAGTTAGATATCCACGAAGATGGATGTAAAATCAATCAGGTTCTCGTATTCCTCCCGGAAGGAACAACAGTACACTTTGAAAATTTTAGTCATACGCATTCCAGCGAATATATCGGTGTATTTGATATCGAATGTGCATTAGACACCACTCTCCCTGCAGGTAAAATTGAGTCTCGTCATAAAGCCATTGCCTATTGTTAACAGTATCATGAAATCCATATGACAGAGGAGGATGAGATGAGACATGATTCTCAGAACACTTGTGAATTATGTGGTAACACCTTCAAAAAACCCAAGGACAAACATAAACACCATGACCATACTTTAAATTTCAATAATTATATTGGAGCCTATTGTGCACGTTGTAATATGCAGTGTAAAGACAAAAGAGAGAAATTATTGCTTTTTTGTCATAACATGTCGTATGATTTAGGAATAATTTTAAAGGAATTGAATGTTGATAAATATAACGTTGAAATTCATTCGAAACAAGGGTTCAAATTCTTGAAAGTAGACATAGGTAAGGTTAGGTTTCAGGATTCACTGTCTTTATTGAATGGATCTCTTTCCACGTTAGCAGATCAACATATCAAGGCAGGTAAATCCCTGAAATATACAGAGACTATCCTGAAAGATGCGCCTCGAGATGTCTTACCTTTATTATGTAAAGGAAAACAAATTTTGTGTTATGATTATATTGATAGTTTAAAGAAGCTCGATTGAAACAAAATTCCCGAGTAAAGATCATTTTTTAATTCTTTGAGAAATAGCGCTATCAGCCAAGAAGATTATGAACATGCATTGAAAGTGTTTGAGTTGGGTAAATGTAAGACTTTAGGAGATTACTTGATGTTATATCTCAAGACAGATGTTGGTTTGTTAGCCGATGTCTTCATGGAGTGGCGTAAAACACTCAAAGATATTTTTTAAGCTAGACGTTAGTAATTATATAAGTTTACAATCATTCAGTTGGGATGCATTCCTATTGAAAACTAATGTAAGATTAGATATGATATATTCCCATGAATTATATGACTTGATTAAAAGGAATCTCAGAGGAGGGTTTACGTGCGCAATTAATCAGTATTCTAAAGCAGATAATCCCTAATTAACCCTAATTTTGATGTTGAGAGTGGAATGGGCACTCATATTCTATATCTAGATTTCAATTCTTTGTATGCTAGTGCGATGGTTGAAGCTCTTCCACAGAATGGTATCAGAAAATTATCGAATGACGAGAAGAATGCTATCCTCGATGTGGGATTAAGTAATGTTTCCTGTGAAGGACAAAAGGGATATTGGATAGAATGTGATACCAAGCACATATCCCCCGAGGTAGCTAGACTCACTGATGAACTTCCTTTAATATTATACCACATGAATATATCAGAAGAGATGTTATCTCCTTATTGTGAATCTATATTGAAAAATGAAGGTAGAAAGATCCCCAAATCTAATGGGAAATTAGTGGGCAGTCATTTATCTCAGAAAAATTATTTGATCAGTCTAGAATTGTTACAGTTATTACTGGAACTTGGGTTAGAGGTGGAAAAGGTTCATACCATATATGAATATACTCAGTCAAAATTTTTAGAACCTTTCATATCAACTAATATTGCACAAAGAACAGCTACAAGATGTCCTATCAAGTCAAAAACCTTCAAATTAACTAATAACGCCATATATGGGAAATCATTGCTGAATATTACAAAGTATGCTGAGAAATATAGATATATCAATAATGAGAAAGCATTTATTAGAGCGAGTAAAGATCCTTTGTTAAAAAATATCACACATTTAAATCAAGATAGAGTAATTTGCACATTCAATAAAGATATATTAGAAGTTAAGCAACCACTTTATCTCGGTTTTCAAATTCTTGAGATAGCTAAAAAGAAATTGCATCATTTTTGGTATAAAGTTTTAAAACAGCATTATGGTGATGATGTAAGACTTCTTTATACCGATACTGACTCGTATATTTTTAGCTTGAAATGTAAAGATTTGTACACCGAGTTAAAAAGTGAACCATTGTTAGGTTATATGGTTTTTCAAATTTCAGTCTGATCATCCCTTATATGATGATAGTAGAAAAGGTGAGCTGGGGTTATTGAAATCTGAAATGTGTGATAACCATATTAGCGAGTTGATAGCACTGAAAGCTAAAATGTATTCTGTCAAGATTGCTGGAAGATCAACTACTGTCAGCAGAGCCAAGGGTATTCCTTCGCAATTTATGCCATTATTAACACATGCAAGATATAAGAATGTTTTATCAAATGTAGATAGAGAATTATTCACGTGTAAGTCTATAAGTAATGTAAAAGGTGAAATATGTACGGTAAGAATTAATAAGAGAGGTTTGTCAGCCTTTAATGATAAAAGATATCATTTGAATACTAATGAATCCTTGGCTTATGGACACCCTGATATTCCACCATCTAAACGTAGGAGAATAGAGTGATGTATTACTTGTATAATAAATAATGAAAAAAATATTGTGTATTAGTGTTATCCTGAAATGTGTCTTTCTGATGATGAAAATGTTTTCCCTATGATGTAGGTACTATATCCCCTTATTAACTTTATTGAACTAAAAGGGTCGTCATGATTCAGCTTGTATGTGTGACGTCACTGACAGAAGGTAAGTGTTCCCTTATTAACTTTAATGAACTAAAAGGGTCGACAAGATTCAGCCTGTGTGTGACGTCACTACTATGTCCCCTTATTAACTTGAATGAACTAAAAGGGTCGACATGATTCAGCTTGTATGTGTGACGTCACTGACAGAAGGTAAGTGTTCCCTTATTAACTTTAATGAACTAAAAGGGTCGACAAGATTCAGCCTGTGTGTGTGGGGGGTCACCGCGTGACGTCACACTTGTTTAGACCTGTAGTAAGCATGCCCCCATAGGAGGAGTCTATTTTGAATGCTTATACCCAGAGGCGAGGGGGAATCCAAAACTTGATCCGAGGAGATAAAGGAGAAATACTTGGACATAGAGGGTAGAAGTGGATGGTGGGGGAAATCTTTGTAATATTGATATCGAGAAAACTTGATCCGAGGAAATGGAGAATTTCGAAACCCCCATAGGGGGGAATCCAAAAAATTTGATCCGAGGAATTGGAGAATTTCGAAACCCCCATAGGGGGGAATCCAAAAACTTGGTAGTATTGAGAAATTTTGGAATTGGGGGTGGAGGGGTGAAAGTGGGGGGGGGGGGGGGAGGGTGAACCTCAAAAATTTGATCCGAGGAGATGGAGAAATTCAAACCCCTTGATCCAAGGAGATGGAGAATTTCGAAAACCCCATAGGGGAGAATCCAAAAAACTTGATGCAAGGAGATCATAAGAAAAAAAAAAATTCGAGGCACGGGGGCGATCCGGACGACGCTGCAGAAGGCGCAGCAGAAGGCGCGCGGGCGGGGCGCGCGGGCGGGCGGCGGGCGGGCGCGCGGGCGCGGCGCGACGGCGGGGTCGCGAAGGGGGGGGGGTCGTGGGCGGGGGTATTGGTTGGGGGGTCAAGGGTGAGGTAGTCTCGAGGGCGAGGTCATGGTCAAAACCGGAAGTAACACCTAGGTGTGAAAAGGTGACCCTCCAGCTGCTGGTCCTAGACCGGAAGGGTGCGCTCAGTGGAAAAATCCACTACTAACGTGCTTGTTGAATTGTTGACGTGCTTGTTGAATTGTTGACGTGCTTGCTGTATTGTTGACGTGCATGTTGTATTGTTGACGTGCTTGTTGAATTGTTGACGTGCTTGTTGAATTGTTGACGTGCTTGTTGTATTGTTGACGTGCTTGTTGTATTGTTGACGTGCTTGTTGAATTGTTGACGTGCTTGTTGTATTGTTGACGTGCTTGTTGAATTGTTGACGTGCTTGTTGTATTGTTGACGTGCTTGTTGTATTGTTGACGTGCTTGTTGAATTGTTGACGTGCTTGTTGTATTGTTGACGTGCTTGTTGAATTGTTGACGTGCTTGTTGAATTGTTGACGTGCTTGTTGTATTGTTGACTCTTGTTGTTATTTTGGTGCAGTTTTATTGTTGATTGCTTGTTGTATTGTTATCTTGTTGAATTGTTGACGGCTTTTGATTGTTGACGTGCTTGTTTTGG